AAATTATCTAGATAAAGATAAAAGATAAAACACTATTTATCTGGATAAAAAAAAAAAAAAAGATAAAATTATTTTAATTTTATTAATTAATCTACGACTTTTGTTAATTTATACTAGATTCTACAATCTACAATTTCTATTAGAATTTAGAAATAACATAAATAAGCGATCCGGATAATATTAATACCCAATACTTTATGTTTTTTATTTTGTTTTCAATTTGTACAAAGTTGGTTTACTAATGAGTCATGGGTTTTAACTTTCAAGTCCAATTTTTCGAATTTCTCGGATAAGTATGTGTAAATTTATTTATCTAGATGAATTGCGTTAGATAACTCAATTATTCATCTAAGATAATTCATCAGATTTTGTTTGCTATCTTGATAAGATAAAAGATAATTAATTATTTATCTGAATAATTTATTTAGAACATTTATCAAGATAATGCTCAACGCTTTACACCGAGATCGAATAAAAAGAAGTATCCCGGCATATAGTCGTTTTTGGATTCTGAACGGAGCGAGGAATGTATTGGTTTTACAATGATGTTTTTTTTTTTTTTTATTTGTCAACAACTTTTCTACCAGAAATTTCGCTCCGATTTTCGAACGTAGCACTTTCTTTGAACAAAAAATTGACTGGGGTGGTACTTTAAGGAAGTCGTTTTTTTTTCAATTTTCCAGGAGTTTTTCCGATAACTGGCAAATGTACGAAATGCGTATTATTATAAATCGCAAATGCAGCGGCCTTTCAAAATGCGTACAACCGAAATATACATACGAAATTCCCATCCATGTCCACCCATGGTACGCCGACCCGCCGACTTCTCGCCTACAACGGCTGGCGGCCCGCCCACCGTGCGAAGTGTGTCCGCGTGATTATTTTCTTTTACGCAGTTATGCTCATACGCCCCACCCCGAAAAAACAAACAATCGATTGTCGTGTTCGAAACGGAAATTACGTTACGAACGCGCCGCGGACGCGCGGCCGCAGAGACGCGCACAGGTATAAAAAATATTATTATCTACCGCGTGCACACCCACGCGCAGTCTGAACGCGGTAATCGCCGTTAAACTCGCGTAGACTCGCCGGGCCGAAACGGGAGGCGCGCGCGCGAGAACTCGTTAACCGGGTGAACAAAACCCGTATCGGGTAAGCCCCGTTAAACTCTTATCGGGGCCGCCCCTTCCCACCCGCCGCCCGCTCGTCCGTCGCGCGCGTTCGGTCTAATTGGACGTCGCGCGGCCCGATATCGCCGCGCCGCGCGGTTAAAAGTTCCCGGTCGCGTACGTCCCGGAGCGCCGCCGCCCCGTCTGCAGCGGGACGTTATTATTCGCCGTCGTAACCGCCGCAGTGCCCGAACTCGAGGGGATCAACAAACGCCGCCGCGGGTATTTCGAGTTAATTGTTTCGGGAGCCAACGATCGCCGCCGCCGCCGTGCAATTGTACGCCGACTGCAACGCTTATTCCCGGCGTTCCCGGTGCCCCGCCGCCGTGTAATCTCCCGTAATTTATATGATTTTCGACGTTCCGAAAATAAAACCGAGTCCGAACGAGCGCGACGGCGGCGGCGGCCGGCGCGCACGGAACCTTGCGCCGGAGAGCGTGGCCTGGGGTTAGCGCGCGCATCACAATAACATCGCAGGCCTCCGGGACGGGACGCCTCGACGGCGACGGTGCCGGGGGTCGGGGTCTGCTGCCGGGGAGGGGGGGGGGAGGGAGTGGTATTAACTTTTGT